TGGGTGTTCATGTGCATCTTCCCTCACTTCATATCAGCAGATACTTCACTCTCAGCTCTAGCCCTCTTTGGCTAGGTCCTTGTCCATGGGCTTAGGAGTCCTCAGGTCTCACCATACTTTGGACCAATCAGCCCTTCCTCTTCTATCATTTTCAGGTTGACAGCAGTCTACGGAACATGATTGAACTCAGCCCATTTCTTCATTGCTGCCTTTTCCCCTCTTCCACTCACTAGTAGACCAACATGGTTGTCAGCAAGCTTACATGCCTGCTCATGTGTTTCTTTTGTGTTTCAGTCTTAGAGTTGGGTTTGTCCTGAAGGGACTTGATTACTTGCCTTGATGGCTCCCAGGCGAACAACTTACTTGTTCTTGTGGTAGCCAAACAGACTGCCGGTTTTTTTTTGTGTGTGTGTGTGTTTTTCCCCGATTTTTCCTGCTGGTCTTTCTTTCAAGAAGATTCTGGGTGGGACTCAGGATTCCACTTAAAGTTCTATAAACTACAAAAGCTCCGCAAGAAGCCTATTTCACTGGGCTAGTTCTAGAACCCCTTTTAGGTATTTTATCAGTTATAGGCTGAAGATGAGCTTATACACTTTTTGTAATCATGTTTCCCAATATTCCTTTCTATCCCACTCAAGTGTCTGTTGTACAGTAGTAAGCAAGGGAAAACAATGTTTACAAGCCAGGCAAGCATCTTAACATTATTTCCCCTCTTTTACCCATTCAGACTATGAATCAATCCTTCCAAGGTTGAACATACATCACTATTTACCTCTGTCCCATTTAGCCCATTCAAACTTCCCTAACTCTTCCCCTAGCTACCTTGTACTTTCAGCTCCTTCCTCCTTGTATATTGCCTTCCTCAACACATGAACTATGATGTGTCTGCCGCTACCCTGTGGCTCTACTGTACTTTCCTTCCTATCCTTGGCAGCCGACAAAGAATTTTTTTTCTTTCTTTTAGTTTGGATATCTTTTTAAAAAATTCGTATTTTTAATGTTTCCATGGTCCCCTTGGATTTTCATTTTCTTGGTATGTTGTGAAGTATTAATTTTCTTTGAGGTTACCCTATAGTCTATTAACCTTTTCCTCTACTTAAAACAGTCTATTTTATCCTACAAACTACCTGACCTCCTCATAGCCTGGATCTCTTTTCCTGTATTTTTACTTTCTTTCACATTGTAATTGTTTTGATCATAGACTGACCTCCCAGATCCTCTGAATTCATTTCTTATACCTTTGTTCTGTTCTCGACTCTTCCATTTGTCGATTGTGTTCTGGATGGTGTTGCCACATATGTCAGTCTCTGGTTGTTGTCTGTTCTTGTTGGTTCTTAGTCCAAAGAACTTTCTTTAGGATGTTTTGAAGTGCTAGGTTGGCTTTGCAAAATCCCTTAGCTTCTGTTTGTCCGGGAATGTTTTTATTACATCATCATATTTGATTCACAGCTTTGCTGGGTAGATGATTCTTGGTTGGCAGTTGTTTTTCTTTCAGTGTTTTATATATGTCTCCCCATTGCCTTCTTGCCTGCATGGTTTCTGCTGAAAGCTCAGAGCTTAATCTGATTTGCTTATCTTTGTAAGTAATACTTCTCTTTTCCCTAGCTGCTTTCAAGAGTCTCTCTTTGTCTTTGGTTTTATAGAGCTTGATTATGATATGTATTGGGGATTTTATTTTAGGGTCTATCCTTCCTGGGGTTTGTTGAGCTTCATGAATGCTTATCTTTTCATTTTCCAGGATGTTTAAAGGCATGAAGTGGCTGGCTCATAAGCGTTTATGTGTGTGCTTAGTTTCAGAATAAGGGGGGTAAGGTAAAATCTCCACTGAATAGTTTTCTTTTCCAGATAGATCTGGTGAAAGTGGGGGGGGGGGGAAATAATGGTGATAGGATTTTATGATTCAATTGTGAGTAATTGTTAGCAGGACTGTGAACGTCACAAGTGTAATTGTAGAAGATACATAACTAAAAGGGGGCAATAGTTAGTTTTTAATTTCTGGAACAGATGAGCCCAGGACCATGAAGAAGAGAGAGCATGAGTGGCATGTGGGATCCTACCTAGAAAGGCGGCGATGGCAAAGATGGTGGCAGAGAGCATGGATAGCAGCTGTACGTGTTAGGCCCATTGACTGAGAAAGGCTATGTGCCCAAGAGCAGGAGGCTGGCATGAAGAATGTGCTTGTTTGTATGTGTACATCATATATTTTTGCTTTGTTGTTTTGTGAAACATAGGATGTGAATGGGAGCCACAGGGATGAAGCAGGATAACTGTTGTTGCAGGGAGGGAGTTGTAATAATTGAGATGGAACAAAGTGTAAAATTTGTTGAGTGTAAAGCTGATGATCTTATATGTAAACCTTTACTCATTTCACAATAACAAGTTAAAAAAAAAGTTCCTACTTAAGAGTGAACTTCCCTTAAATACAACACTCTCAAGAAAATTGACTCTCATAAACGTTTATGTGGGAGTCGCTATTCCAACAAAATCAGGTAGGGCCAAATTCCAAAGCAAATAAACTCTCCTGTTCCCCACCATAGGAGAGGGTGTTCCCCCACCCCCGTTCTGCTAAAGCTAGAGCTAGGGCCCTTCCTGGGAACTTCCTGGCTTTTATTAGTTTGTGATCCCAAACATAACTTTTCAAAGACTTTTCTTTTGGAAGTGTGGGTGTGAAACTGCTTCCCTAATCACATCTTGCCGGAGGATGGTTCAACATCTGTATATTATTTAAAATCTTAGTATCCGGTTGGGATATTTGAGTGGGTGGAGACCCTGCGTGGAGAGGTAGAGGCAAGCGTAATGTGTCAAAATGACTTTTAAGCAAAGGCATAAAAATTAGGCAAAAGACACAAATAGCTAATTACCTTGGCTCACTTGCACGTTGAGTCACAAGCCCCCCCCCCTCCCCTTTTAGCTTTAACCTAAGAAGGAGAAATAGGGAACTTAAAAGTATAAGGGATAAAGATCTTACCACAGAGAACTAAGGGACAAAATTCTTTACAGGCCTCCCATTTACCCAAGACCCCCCACCCCTAATTGCTAAAGAGGCAGGGGTACCCCGGATAGCTGCCAGGGAATCAGTGCAGCACAGAGACTTTGCTTTCACTCTGTGGGAGGTAAGAGCCACACTTCCTGCACCCTCCCGGCGTCCAGGCCAGGGTGCTGGAAGCTTCTCTCTTCGCAAGGAGCAGTGAGTTGGGAAAACTCCGCCACTATTGCATACTGGCGCCAGGAAAGGGGGTGAGGGGCTCAGAAGGACTGGTTTTGCAAGCCTAGGATCAATATCCCTCTTCTCCCTCCCTCTCCAGTAGTGGACCCGGCCAATGGAAGCCCGGAAAAAGGAAAAAAAAAAAAAAAATCCCTATGCAGTCTGAGTGCAAAGGCCGCTCGGCTTTGTTTCCAGGCGGGGGAATGCTCCGAGCTGGGGCCACAAGCAGGGGACATTGGGGCGCGCCCTGCCGCGATACTGTTAGGGAGGTGAAGCCGAGCAGAAGGTCCCCTTACATGCGCTGCCGTTTTCTCCCCTGACCTGGAGAGAAACCCTCCTAAGGACTCCCTAATTCCGAAATCTGTGAGCAACGCGGACCAGGGCAAGAGACCCCACCAAACTCGCGCGGCTATAGGCATCTATAAGAGCTCACAGAACTGGAATCTGGCAACGAATCACCAGCCCGAATGCAGCCTCCCCTCTCCCTATTTCCAAGTCTGGGCCAGAACCTCTCCCAGGACCAAAGCTGCCAGAAAGAAGCCTGCAGCTTCGTGGACAGCTAGGTGGTGGGATCCCTCCGAGGCGGGAGCAGAGCACGGCTGCTTTAAGCGCGCGCAGTGCGCGCGTCCGTCGGCAGCGGCCCGGGTTGCGCGCCCCCGTTACCGCCGTCGCGCCGCCGTCGCGCGCCCCCTGCTCGCTCGCTCTCTCACTCGCTCGCTCGCCGGCTTTAAAGTCTCTGCCAGGATCCATGCTCACATGTTACTTCCTGTATGGAGGCATGGCCAGTTTCCAGCCCCGCGCTCCGCGTTCCTTCCCAGCCTGCGCCCGAGCCACAACTTTCAGGAGCATGGACTGAAGGCGCCCTCGCCCCAGCACCCCTCTGAGATCCTTTGTGTTTTGCTCTGTTTCCTCCGGCCGTTTCTATTTTTGGGGGCTCTTCGCTTCCCCCGCCACTTCCCTCCCCTTCCCCGATTGCAAACATGCCTCCTTCCTTCCCGGGGCCCTGGAAGGAGCTGCCAGCCTGAAGCCCGGAGACGCCGTTCCGTGATCAGTCCCGCCGCCGCCCGCCGGTTCTTGCGCTGCCGAATCAAGTTGGGGATTCTCGGCTGCTCACCCTCGCCACTGCCGCCTGTGGTCCCTGCCTGCCCCGAACTCGGGTCATCGTCACCGCCCGCCGACTCCTCGCCCTGCCTGCTCTGCTTGATCCTTTTTGAACGGCAAGAAATCCTTCTCCGCCGAGAGGATTGTCCCCAGCGTGGCTGCGCGTTCCTGGTTACTTTTTGAGATTTTCCGGGGGGCGTTTGGAGGCTTCCTGGCTTTCAGAGGAGACTCGGGTTGCCGAGCGCGGGGGTCCAGTGAAGCAGGCGAACAGGGGAAGCGCCTGGTTTTAGCGGAGGCTCGTACAGAGGCAAGAACTTATTCAACAAGTTTACCCCCCTGCCTTTCTCTTTTCGATGTGCGTTTTCGGACATGCGGAGGTTACTGGAACCGTGTTGGTGGATTTTGTTCCTGAAAATCACCAGTTCCGTGCTTCATTATGTCGTGTGCTTTCCCGGTAAGTGTTGGCTGTGGAGGGGACGTGGCCCTGGCCGGCGCGCTGAGGATGTTGAGTTGCCTCTCTGGGGCGCAGAGATCTGGTGCTGGTCCTGGGGACCCGGGAGAGGGTGGAGGGGATCGGGCGCCGGGTGAGAAGACGAAGAATCCTCTCTTTCGGATCCCGGCAGCTTTTGAGGGAGGCGGATGGTTGGGCAGGGTGGAGGGAAGGGGTCGACTGGGGAGGGTTTGGGGCCCTCCGGGGGGTCTGCTTCTGCTTGGGTTTGGGGGAACAGAGCGTTCTGGAGCTGGGCGAAGAGGGGCTCGCTCTGCTGATCCGCCGCCCATCGGGAGCGCTAGAGCTGTGGATGTTGGGTCTGCAGGGAGGAAGCTCTGTAGATTTTAGGGGGGAAGTCGGGTGCGTACCTCTTTCCATTGGGGGCTGAAGGAATTCAAAAGGGGGAGGGGGACTCATTCTGCTCTTCGATCTTTTGGAGAGGCTGGTGTTTGAGGGGTGGAAATGTGGTCACGGAGGGGACCAGCCTGCGTTTTGGTCCCAAGCACTATCCCCAGCTTGGGGCTTCATCGCGGGATGCGCTTCGGTGCCGGTGCGAGGCAGCCTCCCCTGGAGCGGGAGCCCGGGTAGAGTGAGAGGGATGGGAGCAGAAGGTTTAGAAGCAGCCCCTTCTCTCCTAGACTTACCCGGGCCCAGCCGCTGGTGCGTGCGGGGGGTGGGGTGGGGGTGGGTGTCGGCTGCGGGGCTGTTTCTTGCACCCGGGCGGATTTTTCTTGACTCGTGTGTCCTGCCTACCTTCATATTTACCCCCTTTGCAGGCTGTTTGCGCTTGGCAGATCCAGACCCTCTCATTTCTGGCCAGGCTAAGAGAGGAGCAACACTGGCTATTGATGATAAGAAATTACCGCACGTAACGGTGTGCATCTCGGTAACCCTCTGCTTCCAAACCTGCGCGGGCAGACCCCTTTTGCTCTTCATAAGACCGCAGAGGTTGCCTCCCCCCCCCCACTCCCTATATACACACACACACTCTTGAGGTTTCTAGGAGCCTAGATCTCTGTTGAAACAATCTTTCCCCCTTATTGGGGGTGAAGGCTGCATCTTCTGCCTTAGTCCAGGAACGGGCAGGCGAAATGGGGAGATTTGGTTTTCATCTGTCACTCCCTTAAAGACAGACATTCCCTCACCCCCATTTTCTGCCCTCTCATCTACCTGCTCCCAAGTGGTGGGTATTTGAGTCTAGAAAAAGGGGAACGTGTCTCTAGTGTTTTCGTTCTTTCTACTTACCGCCGCCTGTCCCTGGGCTGCCCGAGCGCCCGATTTTGGTGCAGCGGGTCCCCCAGCCCCGTTGTGCACCTTGGAACGGGAACCTTTGCTGCCCTCGGGGAGCCGCCCCGGGGAGACAAGACAGTGCGTGCTACCTTTGTGGGCTTGGGGTGATGCCGAGGGGCAGGGAGACAAGAAGAGCCCTACTAGCATCTTCTTTTCTCTGAGACCCCCTTTTCTGCGCATACTACTGTTTCTTGTCTCTTCCCGCACCTCCCCATCAGCCTCACCGATCTCCTGCTTTAGCTCAGAAATCAAGTTGGGAGGCTGAGCACGACCACATGTGTCCAGCTCACCCGAAGGCCTGGAGTTTGCCCCCCCCTCCTGTGCCTCCACGGGGGTTGGTGGGGACAACTGTCCACTGTCCCTTAAAGACCATCGCTTAGTATTTGTATTAAACATCTCCCCTCACTAGACCGCTCTCCTTTCCTATGGACTTGCTGGGTGAGTGGGGGGTCGAGACACAGGGCTTGAGCTTTGCTTTGACCACGCTTTAATGGGAGGAGGGGGTTAGAAGGAGGCAACAGAGGGCAGCCTTTCGAAATCAGAAGAATTCCCATATACAGTTCTGGCCTTTTCCATTGGCTTGGAGATGTGGTCAGTGGGCCAACAGAGATTTTTCTCTTTCCTGGTTTCTGAGGAAGCTTGAAATCCAAAATGGGACCTCCACTGATACCGCCTTCCTGGGGCTTTGACAATTTTCTTCTTTCTCATTTTCTTACATGTCCATGCTGTGAGGTAAAAAACCCTTTCCCTCCTCCTGGAGCCGGAGGTGGTGGTGGGGGGGGAGGGGGGAGAAGGGCGGGAATCACAAAAGGAATGGGCGATGGTGTGAGGTACGAGGAAGAGGGGGATTGGTTTGAAAAAGTGCAGCCCTAGAGGGTTAGCAGCCAGGCAAAGTTAAAATGTCAATGCCGTTTGAGGCGCCGGTTTAACATTTCCGAGAGTGCTGCGACGCCGCTGGACCTCAGGGGGCGCCTCCGAGCCACTCGTCGGACTTCTGCCACCTTCACTTGTCCGCTAGGCTACCTCTATGCCGCGGGGCTGCGGTGGGAGTGAGGTTGGGGTGCTCCAGGGCTAATGAGGTGGCTCAGGAGGAGTCTTAGACTCCTTGCTGCCCCTCTCGGCCGGTACTCTTCACCTGGCAGGGTCAGAGCTCTCTTTGTGACCACCCACTTCCCCCGCACCCCACTTGCCTGCCATAGCCTCAGAAGGGTTTAATGTGTTTTGACACCTGGGATAAAAATGGTTTTGATTTGGGATTAGGTTCCTTTTTGGGAGGTCTTAATCCCAATCTCCATTCCTTGGTTATTTTGTTTGTTTTCTCTTAGAATTTGACCAACTTTGCTGTTGCACTGTGTGATTTGGGGCTGGTTTCCTAAAGACAACCTTGACGTGGATCTTTTCCTTTAGCATCGATGGCTTTTAGTCTTTGTACAGTTCATGGTGAAAGTAATGCAGGTGTGGGATTCCCTGTCAGTTTTAGTGTTCCAAGTCAGGTTTTGCAAGTGCAAAGCACAAGTGTTATCACTTTATTATGTTAATAAGAATGTTATTACATTCTTTCCCATTTTCTAAAAACCCTTTATTATGAAAAAATGATAAAAATAGAAAATATGTACTCACCACTCAACTTCAACTATTATCAACCTGATCGTTCATTTATACTCCCATTCAACCGCTGCACTTTATTTAAATCCCAGATATCCAACTATTTGGTATGTATATCCCTAATCATTGGAAATTTAAGTGTCTCCAACAAAGTATAAAATATGTTACTCCAGAGGATTAATGTTTTATCTATTTTACATTCTCTAGCTATTCAGCAGAAATATTAAAAAAAACAAACAAACTGGTTTCTTCTTTCCACCCTCCCAGTGAAACCCTTCTCTTTGGTTCTGATATGTTTCCTATGGAAATTAACATCTGGGAAGGAAGCTGGTGTTGGAAACATTTTGGATGGATAAACTCTGCTGTGTGCATTGGCAGTGTCAGAACTGGATGATCTATGATTGAAGTCCGCCCGAATCTCCCTCTGAGTCTGTCCTATCTGTATTTATTTGCATGTGCAGATTTAGGCCTGCTGTTCATCCTTTATGGTGTTCAGGAAAAGGCAGAAGTAATTTGTGAAAGCCACCAGTCATAGGGATGGGGTGAGAAATCATCCAGTTATGTGTGTTTTCATTTTTTTCTTCCTCAAGTGTCTTGTTTGAATGAAGAATCTTTATCCAGTCTCTGAACTGGACACAGTTATGGAATAGTGACTTTGTTTACTTCTAAGCAGTGCTCACATTAGTGAGTTACTGAAGTTAGATCCAAACTTGTCATCTAGTTGATTTGATTCTGATTTACAGTATTATAGAACCTGCCTCATAAGGTTTCCAAGGCTGTAAACATTAAGGAAACATCTTTCTTCTGCAAATCAGTTGTTGGGTTTGAACTGTCAACCTTTAGGTTAGCGACTGAGCTCTTAATCATTGCTCCACCAGGACTCCTTTTGAAGTTAGAACAGTTACACAAACACAAAATGAGAAAGTGCACTCTCTAATAGACAGTGAAGCTTTGAGTATCTCTAATTATGAACCTGTTTTCACTGAATGAAAGATTATGTTGTTGTTTATATGAAGCGGACAGGGAACACTGATGATTTAACACCGCCAAACCAAACAAAAACCCATTCAGATTCATTTTTCTGTTCTTCCGAACAATTCCCAAGTTAACATAGTATAATAAGTTATTCTGGTGCACCAATTTAGAATATTAACTTTCTTGCCATTCATGTAAGAATATATATAATTCCATAGAGCAGTCGCTAGTAAGGAAACTTCCTCTTCCTTCCCCTCTCTGTTTTTCCTGGAAACTTCTTAACCAAAAGGACAATCTGGACACATACTTCACTGCAATGGCATTTTTGGCTGTTCGTGTGTAGAGGCTATTCTAAAGGATGCCAAGGAAGTATGCCTGCTCCCACTTTCAGTTCTGCACCTGAGCTTGAGCTGAATGAAGGTAGATTGAGGGACTCAGGAAAATGTGAAGTGTTCTTCTGAGAAGAGTCTGCCCCCAACAGGCAGTGAGTGTTGCATGTGAAATTTGGCAGCAGCTGTTGAATTTGTACCAGAATGAGGTTGCCTGGGCACATAGAAGAAAAACAACCCCAAACCAAACCCAGTGCCATTGAGTAGATTCTGACGCATGACCAACGACCCCATGTGTTACAGAGTAGAAATGCTCCATAGGGCTTTCTTGGCTGTTACTTTCATCGAAGCAGATCACCAGACCTTTCTTCCATGGAGTGGCTTCATGGGTTCAAACAAGCAACCCAGTGCAAACTGGTTATATCCCCCAGAGGCCTGGACGCACGTTATGCCCTTGGTAATTGTTTGCCAAATGATTAAATAATTTTGTGCTTTGGTTTTGCTGTCTACAAAATGGGAGTGACTATCTTGGTAGCAAAGAACCAAGCCCCCAAGAATATGACAAGTTCCCTACAGTTAAATAAACCAAATGCACATCTCTAAAAAAGAAAACCTTTATTGACCCAGCTTTGATTTTTATTAAAAAAGAAAAAAATTAGTAAGGTGTTTCCGTGATGTTGTACTTAAAAATCACTTTTAAAAAGGGTGTTTAAAAAACCCATGTGTCCCTGTCCTCCTTTGCCTACAATTCCTCTTCCTCTCAAA